CCCCCCCCCCGCGCACCTGCTGTTCACAGTGAGTGCTGTACTGTAGTACTGCCACACATCGCGGACAACCATACGCTCTCCGCTGTTGTACGGGTTTCATGGCACTCTCCACCACCTCTCTCGAGGGCTCGATGAGTGGATTGTCCTCAGAGATCACAAAACAGAAAAAAGAAAATACGAAGTACTTCTCGTAGTCTAAGGAACAAGATGATGCAACATTCCAAAGGAAGAAGAAATTCCTTTTACGAAAATGGACGACTTGGGCCGGTACTTTGACCCAAAAGAATAGATTGAGGCTCGATCCGATTTTGACGTGTCTTAACTGTGGGGGCTATCTGTAGGATCGAACGTCCTCCAAGCGAGAGATAACCTCGCCCTCGGTGAGGAACGAGGTTGCACACGACTTTTTTTTTGGCGGCATCAGATGGACCGCCGGTAGATGGGAGGAATCTATCCATAGCAACACCCTGTTGCAGCTGCAGCAGCAGACCGCTCGCTACTTCTGCTGTCTGTGCGTCGCTACTTCTGCACTCACTGTGGTGCGTGGTTCGTGCAAAGAGCGGCACGCAGGCCCGCAGGACACAAAAAAAGGCGGTACGCGGCAGAAAAAATGGGGGTACCCCATTATCGTATATTCGGCCGGGCCCCCTGGTGCTTGAGCAAAATAGTTTTCCTCAAAGCGAGGATTTTCCTTAACGCGAGCGTCCTTAAAGAGGGGTCGACTGTACCGTTGCGTGTGAGTTTATTGCGCACCCCCTGGACTAACCGTCTAAGCACAACCAAGGGGGTGGGAAAAACCTGATCGCGTGCGAGGAAAACAAGCACTCTCTCGACAAGATATTTCCATTTTCCGCCCTTTTCAGCATCGCAGCCTCTTGAGTTGGGAGGAGTCTAATCTAATCTAACCGAACCTACGGTCAAAATTGGCCTAGGGAGTGAATGAGGCTCTCTCCTTCAGGGTCAAAAACCCTGGAATGCCTGTGTGTTTCACCAGTGCCTTATTGTGGCCGTTTGGTTGGAAACCGGCTAGCTGAAACGATGGGCTGCTCCTCAGCTGCTCCAGCGCAAAACAAAGGTAGGCTGGTAGGTGAGGTTCGCCGTTTTTCTTGTCGATTGCATGAAAGCATGATGGCATGATCGGTGCTTCGGTGTCAAGTGCCTGCTTGGGGCTGACGGTTGAGACAAAATGGTAAATACCAGCATTTCGGCCCGTTATCGACCCGTAGCTCCATACACTAGATACCGCTTCCCCCCCATGCGTCGTGCGCCGGCACCAAATCCCCCGAAAAACAAGTGCCCCCCCCCCCCATCTCCACCCTACCCCCATGTAGAAAACGAGAGCCTGCCTCACCTCTCTCCTTGTCTCCTCCATCGCTTTCCTGGCCAAACCCTCCGCCCCTTCCACCCTCGCCAAGGCCCTCTCCTCCACTGTGCTAAGTCTTTGGGCCACCGATAGCACGGCAGTGGCCAGAGAAAGGTGCAGCCCCTCGCCACCTCGACCCTCTTGCCGTGGTTCCAGCTGCTGCTGTTCTTGTTGTCGTACGGTAGAGGAGACTGAAAGTGGGGAGTCGGGAGTGGGATGTCTATGTCTACCCTCTGTAGCAGCCTTGACGCGCGCATCTTGCTCCTGGGTTACAAGAAACACCAGCAGGCGATACATAGGGCAGGGTCTGCTTATACTTACCGCGAGAAGAAAATCAAAAACTTCTATCCCATATATGAATCAGTTTTGGCACTGTTTGGTGTGGGAAGGACGGCGGAAAATCAATAAAAAAAAAACATACAAGATAAAAGCCCCGGATCTTCCGGATTGGGTATGACACGAACGAGTCTGTGGGTCCTTCTTCTTCTCTTTGATGTTTCCTAGATGGCCTGACACCACGGAAGGAATCCGCGTCAGTTGGATCGGAAAAAATGTTAAGATACCGAGTAGTCACCGGAAGTGTTTCTATTGTGCAGACAAGAAGAATGCCGCCCCTGTGTCTACGTTTGCCACCGATGTCTGCCTTTTGTACTCAAGACTCTGCCGTTCACGTTTGCCCTTGTTCTAATGTTGAGCTGTGCAAGATGTATCTGTGGACAATACTCGCAAACGGTAAATACCGTACCGTCCTTTTCCCCGCAGAAATGCTTCGTAGTAACATGGTAGTGCCACGGAACAGGACTAAAACCACACCAGAACATAAAACAGATACTGCAGTACTTAGGTATGTGCACATGGCACACATCTTGCACGCTACGTACCCAAACCCAACCGACAGCGGTCTCACCAATGCCTCCGCCTCGTTGTCTCCATCAACATCACGCTCAGGGGATGAATGTCCGCCATCCCGACTTTCGGCACGCCTCTTTGACTCGGACTCAGTCATCGCCGTGAGGAACCTGCGAGACTCCAGCGCCGACGCTCGCTTCCTGACGGCCGTTTCAGGGGATAGATCCTCCGCGTCCCCTCTTCTCCCAGCTTCCCACAGGAGTTCCTAACAAGCATGTGCCATTTGGCGGGTTGAGGGATGCTTCGTGACGGAACCGTGTGTCTGGAAGGAGACCATGTATGCATCCTCCCGTGGGTGTTTTGTGTGTCGAACGGTGTCTTTGTACCATCAGGTGCAACCGCCCCTTCTTTTTCGCGCTTCGCGCTAAATATGTTCAGCCGGTTGAAGGACATGACACACGAGGCGCGAGGGCTTTCCGAAAACCATCAAACGACACGCTCGCGCACCGCACACACGTGCGCCGCCGCTGTAGGCCAGTGCTATCAAACACCCCGAAGATGATGTTTCCCCGCAAGGGGTCATCCAGGTGCCGAGTTTACTATTTATGTATCAGATGTCCAAGTTTCAACCCTACAGTACTACACAAGCGCCCTTCATGGGCCTCACTTGCAGACCGAGTCCTCTCTCTCCCCCTCGTTTCCGTCATTTCCACATTCTCACACCTGAACATCCGGTTCGCCGGCGGCACGACTTGTGCTGGATCGGCCGGATCCGATATTGGCCCCGCCGCCGACGCCGAGGACACCGGCCTCTCCCTCCAAGGCGCCACCCGGACCGCCTGTATCGTGCCAGAGAAAACGCAGAGTGAAAGTACTGGAAGCACTGCCTGCCCTCCGCTCATTTCTCGCGTTCCATTTCCAGTTTATTGAAAAATAAAATGAGAGGTTATAGTAAAACCGGTTCAGCAGCAGTGGTCCCGGTACACTGCCGGTGCAACAGTCCGGCGCATATGGAATATTCTATTCAAATTGCTTCATACTCTGAATAATGTCGGCTGGAATGCCGGCACCACTGTCGTATACTTTGAAGTATCATCCATGTTAAGACAATATACAAAAATATACGTACGTACACCCACGTAATATCTAACTGTAGGTAATACCACTGTAGTAAATCCTATGCAATAAAGCGGCAAAGTATCGCGCCTCGAGGGGCAACGCCACATCGTCGGTCATCAGTCTTCAGAGTATGCTGTTCGATCAAGAACAAGTTCTGAAGCTCTTGAGGCGCTGTGGACAGCAACGCCGAGCTCGACGAGACGGTGGTTCAAAAACACCGCCATCTTTCGGCGCCGTCACTCTTTCTGTTGCGGAGGATAAGGATTCGAGCTTGGTCCAGGGGACGGGGTGTGGTGTCTCACGTCATCCACGGTATTTGTTATCAGAGTCCTCACCGGCCAAGGCTCGACCCAAGGAAGTTTTGAAGACCTTCTCAGCCGCTCCATCGCCATCTTCCTCCAGAGAGACGTCTCGCCACCCACTCCCGGCCGCAAGCACGCGCCCCAGGTTCGACCTTCTTGTTTCGACAGAGAACAACAGGTAGTCAGACGCTTTCGGTATGTACAGAGTTTTGATTAAATAAAATGCCCTGTTTCAAATGGACTACCCTCGTCCAGAGGAATGTTGCTCCACCCGTTCCCCGCGGCAAGAACGCGCACCAGGAGGCTGGAATTTTGTCAAGACAGAGTTTTCGATAAAACAAACGCCATATTCGCGCATGGGAAACCGTCGTCCACGTGTCTCCTTTCAGATATTTTGGCTCTCCAAGGACACGCTGTGATGCCAACATTGGATGATATCTGCGCCATTCAATCCCGCTGAAGAGGAAAAACTAGTTGACTATCCTATTTGTTCGCGTTGTAGGTGTGCGGCCTCTCGGACTTCCGCAAGACTGAAATAGAGAGCACTCCTCCCACCTGTTGAATAGTGCCGACCTTCCAGATACAACAAACTTCCCTCGTTGAAGTTCGTCTCTCAATCTAATCACTCACTGTACGCTACGAGGTCAGCCAAAAGCAGTGTCCGTTGTGGTCCCATACGCCCCCCCAACTGATCACACCAGTCGCTTGCCTTGAAAACGCACACGGGCAACCTTCCCCCTTCAAGCTCGGGAAACCAAGACTAAGACCACGGACAGACTCTTCGGTGCCATCCTGTCTCGCGTTGTCGTCGGATAGCAGTCGCCTAGAGATCAACCGATCTTGACGCTACAACAGTAGTACCATCGAGGACAACCAAAAATACACCTGAAGGTTTGTGGCGGTGGCTGCTGTGCCGATACACCCCCCGCCTCCCCCTTCTCTTTCTCGGTGCCCCCGTCGTCTCTAGCCGCCACCACCTTCGCCGCCGCGACACCTTGGCCTTGTACGCCCATCCGCGGACCTTCTTCCCCCTTTGTGACCGACCCCGATTCTTCTGCCAATTCCGCCGCCTCGTGCTCGCTTGTGATTGGCCAGAACCTGTCCGTCAGAGTAGGTCGATCAACCAGCTGCTGTTCCCCTTGCCCTCCGTCTGCAGACCCGCGTTTTCCCTCCTCTTCGCTCTTGGTTGAGTCCGCGCCAGCAGCAGCAGCGGCAGTGAGCCGCAAAGCAGCTGATGCCGCCCCTGATTCGGCCTCCCTCCTGTCGAGGGCCAGCTCCCGCTCTCTAAGGGAGAGCTCCTGATTGGCCAAGAGGACGCGCCGGCTCTCCACCTCCGCACGAAGGGCCTGGTCAACCAAAACGACCACATCAGCAGCGATCGAATCGGGTGGAGGGTGCGGCAAAATAACGCAACGACGGAAGTCCAGCAGCAACCTAACACAATCGATCAGCCTATCATCAGCCCCCCCCGCCTCGCCGCTCCAAACGCCAACGCCTCAGCTCTACTCCCGTCCCGCACCCATCAACGCAGCAATGGTATAAAATAGCCAACCAACTCCTCTCGCCTGCATGAGGGCCGACCTCTCCTCCCCCATCTCCCGCTGCTGCCCCACCACCTCTCGCATGAGGTCCAACAGCTCGGGAGAAGCCGCCGCTGCCTCCGTCGAGTTCTTCCCAGCCTGCCCCTCACCCTCACCAGAAGGCGTCTCAGAGATCGACGGCCTGGCCGTCGGCGGAGCAGCCGACATCGCCAACATGCCGGCTAGCTCCACCCACGCGCCGTTCTGCACCGACTCCGGCGCTACTGCCGCCGCCTCGAGCCGCCCAGTAGTGAGCCGAATATCCCGCTCCGGCCTACCATCGTCGTCCTCTTCCCGACCCCCTTCCTTAGCGGCGAGGATAAGCCTGGCGTCTCCGCCGTCGAGATCCTCCGCGCCGCCGGCGCCAGTAGCGCTTGTGGCGCCAAAGGCAGCGGCGGAGGAGCCTCCTTCCCCCCGGAGCAGTCGGTCGTCGTCGGCCGGCCGCCAGGAACGGTTTCGGCCTTCTCCCTCCACGAAAACCACGGGACCCGGCGGCGACACGTGCCGCCGCCCGCCTAGCTGGCGACTCAGGCTACTGTCATCCTCCTCCCCCCCCCCCGACACAGACGACAA